GGCGGTTCAATTGCGTTTAGGATTGATCTCAGAACCAAAGTGTGCCAATCTGTTCCTTCTGCATTGCCAGTTCTGGCGGAGAAGAACCCCATTGATACCACCACGCGCGAGCACATTGCGAAGTACGCGCCGATGCTGCGTGACCGGGCTTTCAGGCTTGACAAGGCCGCTGACTATCTGGAAAGTTGGGTGGCCGGGGTTCTCGTGGAGAAGCCATTGCTCAACTGCGATGTGACACCTGCTGTGCATTCAGTGGGCATCAGATTTTTATATTGCATACAGCTACTTGAAGAAGGTTTCTTATTCATACCTGCCAAGCGTGTGACTTGATCATTGTATTTCGCAGTCTACAGTAGTATAGAACGAGCGTTTCAGGGACCTTCCACGTCAGACTGCCTGAGGCTTCGCTTGGATGGGAATGCTGCTGCTTCGAGCAGTGACGTTCCAGCCCCACCAGCAGCAGTTCTGGAACCGTCTGCAAACCCTCTCAGGCACGTGAGTTTCTGAGATTGCAAATTGAGAGCAGCAGCAGCAGCAGCAGCAGGAGCAGTAATTGTACTACTAGTAGTCGTCGTCCTCCTCCTCGTCATCATAATCACAATAGCAGTCAGTAGCGGCAGCAGCAGCACCAGGAGTAGTAGTAGTAATGATTATTATTGTAATGTAGTAGTAGTAATAATAATAGTAGTAGGTACTAGAAGTAACAGTAATGGAAGTCATGGCAGTAGTGCAGTAGTAGCAGCAGTGTGGTAGTAGAAGCAATGGCAAGTACTAGCAATGCTATTACAGTTTGGTTGTTCTTGTTGTTGTTATTGTTCTTCTTGTTATTGTTATGTGACGGTGGTAGTGGTGGCGGCGTTGTCGTTCGTAGCTGCTTTCAGGATATTGTTGGTGGTGGTGGTGGTGGTGGTGGTGTTGGTGTTGGTGTTGTTGGTGTTGTTGTTGTTGTTGTTGTTGTTGTTGTTGGTGCTGTTGGTGTTCTTGTTGTTTTGCACGATCGGGGCATGCACATATAATGAATGATGTATACACGGGGCCCATTGGCATTTTGCAATCCCCTGGACTCTGAGCAGGCTTGGCCGTCCGAAGGATCACACAAAACTCGTCCGTGAGTACGATCAACGGGCCGAGCGATCGATCGTGCTGCGTTCAGCCGCGACAGCGTGGGCTGATGGAGTACCCTGGGCAGACGCTCTTCACATGGCAGAAGTCGCTCAGGAGCGTGCCGAAGCTGCGTCTGCAAGGCGTGATCGGGTCGCCGGTAAAGGCCGCGGAAAGCAGGGTGGGCCACGTGGCAAAGGGCGAGCTTCTGCAGTCGCTGCTGGCGCGGCGGCCTGACAATCACTCGTCGACCGAGGTGGGTCATAGAGATCCAAAAGCACCGTAATTAGAAATGGAGTGATTCTTTTATAACCCAAATACAGAAGGGGTTGCCCGAACGAGGGATGTTCTGCAGCCATTATCTAAATTTAGGGGCCTTGAGACGATCCTAAACCTAAAAATAGAGTTCCATGGCTTGGCTGCAACGAAATTAGGCTAGAAACATTTCTTGCTCTGGTCGATTTCGGTCTTATTCGCTGGGTTTTTCATAGATTCTGAATTACGAGTTCGATCTTCAAAAACCCAAATTTGATGACGGTCCGGCCGTGGCCGGTCATTCTCCCCGGGAAGGTGCTAGTAGCGTGCGTATCTACTTTTCGCCGCAAAAAAAATTGGGGTGCGGCATTGTAGTTAGGAGAGACTTGTCGGGGTTGGAGTAAACATGGCTGGCGCGGACACCCGCCCAGCCTGGCGGCTGGCGGGTGGCGGATTTCTAGGCTCCGGGAGCCTAGAAACCCCTCAGAATCGCGGAAACGCCCATTGTTCAGCAGATTTTGCGTGCTAGAGTGGAAACCTATTGAAATGGCCGGCCAGGAGGAACCACCGATTTGTGTTGAAACCCAGGTGCTTTTCAACTCAAATCGCTCCCGCGGTCCTGCGTCGCGAGAAGCGTTTAGCGCGGAATCCCTCTGTCCAACGCGAGAGGCGTTTGCGTTGAATCCGTCCGACGCGAGAGGCGTTTGCGTTGAATCCGTCCGACGCGACAGGCGTTTGCGTCGAATCCTTCTAACGTCGGTTGGCCAAAGCCCAATTTGCGATGAATCACAGGTAGGATTCGACTCAAATTGGGGCTTCGGCGAGAGAGCCGATTTGTGATGAATCCCAGGTGGGATTCAACTCAAACTGGGCCTCTGGGCCAGGCTGGACCACCCCTGAAATTTTACAGGAGTAGTGAAACCTGGCCCAGAGGCCCATTTTGAGTTGAATCCCACCTGGGATTCATCACAAATCGGCTCTCTCGCCGAAGCCCCAATTTGAGTCGAATCCTACCTGTGATTCATCGCAAATTGGGCTTTGGCCAACCGACGTTAGAAGGATTCGACGCAAACGCCTGTCGCGTCGGACGGATTCAACGCAAACGCCTCTCGCATCGGACGGATTCAACGCAAATTTTTTTCGCGTCGGACAGACAGATTCAACGCAAACGCCTCTCGCGTCGGACGGATTCAACGCAAACGCCTGTCGCGTCCGACTGATTCAACGCAAACGCTTGTCGCGTCGGACAGACAGATTCAACGCAAACGCCTCTCGCATCGGACGGATTCAACGCAAACGCCTGTCGCGTCGGACGGATTCAACGCAAACTTTTTCAATCGCGTCGGAGGACAGACAGATTCAACGCAAACTCCTCTGAACTGATTTGTCTGTGACCGCAACACCTTCAGTGTTACAGACAGTCGGGGACAGACAGACAGACAGACAGACAGACAGACAGAGAAACACATCATCATGATGTCATCATGGCTACTAGTAATAGTTAATTGTACTGTATCGAAAGTCTTTGTCCATGTTCTCTTTCTTTAAGCCCTGCAGGAGCCTGCGGGACGATTCGGTGTGACAAGCGGTGCTCTGTTTGTTTGCTTCTGGATGCTGGTCCTGGACGATCATTACATAATCTGCTCTGACAGCTGCTGCAAGCCACACGTTGTGATTCCATGGTCTCCTTTCACGTGGAGCCCAAGTGGCTTTGAGTCACTGCTGTTGCAGTGCGCCCACCGAGTCCGACTCCAGCAAAACAGTTCATGTGCGAAGTGTCTAAATTAAATCCATAGCGCCTCTCAGCTCCAAAACTGTAACTTCGATTCGGCAAGCTAAATTAAAGTAAAGCTGAATGTTCCAGCCTGTCCAATTACCCAAAACAGACATGCAATAATAATTTACCAGATTGAAATCAGACAGGTCAGCCTCAAGGCCCATAGCTGCTCCTTACAATGACAGGCCCAGAATGTCCCAGTTTCCGTCTTTATGGCAGCATGTCAATGCCCCTTAGATTGCCACGCAGGATTTTGGCGTTCCGCAGATTCTGCTACGGCGATGAGAATGTTCAGTTAGTCAATTCAGAACAAGCGTCACTTGGCCTCATTATCACAGTTCTTCAGCCGGGACCCTTGGCAGCAGGACATATTTAGTAGTCGCCTGGAGCCTTTGATGTGCATTACAGTACGCTTCTCATTGTCTGTTGCTGAGCCATCCTAGGACAGTGGCGCCTTATTGACTGAGTGTGAATTTGACATCATAAGAAATTGGGCGGCTTGCTATGCAGCGCTGAGAGTCGCTTTCTGATGCACTGACCAGGCTCAGGTAGCCCTTGATGCATCTGATGTGTCAGCATTGATGCTTTCATCCCTCAAAGTTTTCCGACTCGAGCGTGCGGTTGACTCTGTCGATGTGAGGACCTAGCCTAAGTAACTGAATCACTTAACCTGGTGTTAAGTTAAGGCTTCAGGCTCAGTTTCATGTCATTCGGTGTTACATGTTTTGAATTCAGATTCATTCATTCAATGTCACTGGTCCCGCTGCTGAGTATTACTACTGTTACTCTCTAGGCCAGACTACCTTAACCTAGCATGGTGTTAAGTTGACGGCTAGTTTCAGGTTCATTCTGTGTTACTGTTACTGTTACGAATTCAATTTCATCCTTTCAGCATTGTACTGTAGGCCACACCGACAAGCTTAATTGCAGTCCGGCCGCTTGCCGAGCGAAACTTGTCCTGAACTCAGAGATTCATTCAGTGACAGTGCAGTAGTCCTGCAGCTTGGGCCCTGCCTCACGGAGTGAGTGACCATGGCCGGCAAGCGGAAGTCAGGGGAGGGCAAGGCTGGGCCTGCCAATGCGAAGGCAGCCAAGCAAGGAGCAAATCCGGCCACCCTGGAAAAGTACAGCTATGTTCACAAGATCACGGCTTGGAAGCTTGTTCTGCAAAGTTCATGCTAAACTGTTCAGCAGCAGCTCTAGGACTAATAGATAAAGCCTAGTTTGGGTAGCGAAGCGGACCAAACAGTTTGTTCCAGGGAGGCCCGGGGGGGAGGGGGGGAACAATGGGGGCTTGAGACCACTCTCAGTTCTGTACGCCTCAGCCATCGTGCTTCGGTCCACGGCCTACATGCAGTTGCTCTCAGTCATGTCAGTTATGTCAGTCATGTCAGTTGCTTGCAGTTTTCAGTTTCCTTTTCACGCGATTCATTTCAGTTCTCCCTTTTGCGAAACATTTATGTGAGGATGATTTTGAAGTGACTTCATCACTTGTGATTATCACCTTATTTCCTTTTTCACAACAACCGTTGTCGTGTTACGACAAGGTTGAACATGGTGATTTTCATGAGATTTCCGTCTTTTCACGATTTGCTCTTTTACTTTCACGCATGAGCATTGAGAAACATGGGCATTTGAATGACGATACGAATGCAAGGTTTCTTGCTCAAGTGGGCAGGAAAAAATTCTTTTTACCCCCCCGCCCGCCCGGGGTATGATCGGGTGCGCAAGTTCTCGACTTATCTCATCGACACATGCGTCTTGCATTGGATGCTTGACCTTGGGGCCGATGGAGATATCAAACTTTGATCGTTTCGACCCCTTTTTTTTTTTGATGATATTGCGCAATGCCGTGGGGTCGAAACGATCAAAGTTTGATATCTCCATCGGCCCCAAGGTCAAGCATCCAATGCAAGACGCATGTGTCGATGAGATAAGTCGAGAACTTGCGCACCCGATCATACCCCCAGCACTGTGCGCACATGTAGCCGTTCCTTCAAACAAGCAGCCTCTCACCACTAGTCTGCATCTGCTGAGCGCCTTGATTCAAGAGCCTTTTGCAGCAGTCGCGGCTTGGCTCGTCCGCTGGATTCGAGTGAGTCGGGACTCGCCCGAACCATGGCCTTGCCCGCCACCTGTGTTCAGCATCCAGGAAACGTTGGACCAGCTTCCTTCCATGATCCGTGCCCGAACGGCCCGCGATGAGTGCTGACTGAGCGGCTTCGTTATCAAGGTAAAAAACGGAAAAGGAATCCTCTAATAAGGGTCCCCAAATCTCAACTGCAACCAAGGCGGCATACAGTTCAACTTCATATATCGGATGATCAGAAGTTTCCTCAAGAGCCCGCAGATCGTCCTCGTTCACCTGTGCAGAGAAGAATGACAACGGCGTGCCAGTGCTGTCATAGAGGACGCCACCGATGCCGGCTCGCTTCTCAGCCGTGGGCTCATACGAGCCATCTGTAAAAACATACAGCTCACGCCCCGTCGTTTGCCTCAGCTCCAATGGCCTGGAATCCGCCACGTAGCGGAGCAAAGTTTGAATCGCCTCAGTCAGGTCGTCAGTGAGCCTTGTGCATGAGTCCATACATTGTGCCCTCAAGGATATCTGTCTCATCGCCTCACACGGCGCACGACCGAAAAGATACGAAGTAAACCAGTGCATCCTTCCCCTCAAAACTTCCGCATCCTTAGGTCGGAGTACAGCATCACGTAAGATTCCCTCGAGTGTCTCCACCAGCTCAGCAGTACGTGCTTCCGTATGCCGAATGACGACCACCCCCTCATTGAATCTCGTCAAGTCATACTGCAATCCCAGGGCGGCAAAGGTGTAATCGAAGTCAGTGGCCTTCTTACCCTCCTTTGCGTATTGGATCCCCAGTGCGTCGAACACTTCTCCAGCCAATCCCCCAACCTGGTCTTCATGACCTTCAAGGGCCATCAAAGGAAAATCGTCAAAGTAGGCGCACCATCCCAGGCCAAGGTCCTGGATGCCCGTGTGCCAAATCGCCGCCGAAACTCGCAGGAAACCCGCCACACTTCCGGTGGCACCGAAAGGAAGAACGTTGGTTCCATAAATCCTGACCATGCCAGAGTCGGTGTCATAGACCCCGATCCTCAAGTGACGCCTGTCTTGAGGGTGGATTGGATAGAATTTGTACGCAGAGACAAGATCAATGGTTTTCCCTTTGATCCTTTTGCCGGCAGCTTCAGGGCGGTTGAGCAACTCAATGAAAACTCCAGCAAGCACGTCCACTCCATGCAAGGTGAACTTCTCTGGTAGCCCACACGCCAAGTTGAGGCCACACTCCTTGCCGTTGTCGATCACACGAACTTTGTCCTTCTGCTGCAAGCCGAAACGATGGGCCAAGACTATGTCATCAAGATTTGCACTTTCATCCCGAAAGATCCATCCCTTCTTCTCTTCCTCCACCGTTTCAGCCCACGCCTTGCGTGCCGTGATGTCAACAACAGTCTTCTGTAGCCTTTTCAAGGTCAACGGTGTTTGGTACTGGGATTGACTTAGCAGGTGCTCCAGCGATGTTTGCGGGGGACGGACTTTCTTGTCGAAGATTCCAGTGTCCCGCATCCAGCCAGTCAGTCTAAGTCCATCGCGCAGGTCGGACCAGAGTTGTTGGTCCGGGAAGCCATTGTCACCAAGAATACTTTTCCAGGCCAAAAGGTTCTTATCCCCTAACGCGGTCACAATGTAGTCCGGCTTGTGCTTCAACATGTTGTGATTCAAGGGCTTAGTCGTAGCCGCAATCTGACTCCAACGATCCTTGGTTTTTGAGGCAAGCCGCTCCCTCCGTTCGAAATCCATGAGGATGGCATCTGCAACTTTGGAGGAAGGTCCTTCCCGGCTCGCGTTCAAAGCATTCCTAGGATGTCCAGCCTTCACGGCATCCGCCACAAAGTCGCAAGGTTCTTTGGGTATTCCAACAGAAACAATCTCCGCATGCTCGGAGCACGGATCGTCTGCAGCAATGAAACCTGTTATCGCAACTGTCTCGTCATGCTTGAGGTGGTCCTCCTCAATACAATCAGCGATCTTCACCCGTTGGGGGTATTTGGAATGCAACGACGACAGGTCGATGCCTGTGCATTTGGAAGGCACGCAAACCCGCACCATACCCCAGGATACCAGTTTGCGTTGAATAATGCGCGCTCCCTTTGGGTAGCAAGCCAGCAGCGTGGAGGTGAGATCATCGGATCGAACAGGGATGGCCCAGTCATCACTTTGTTAAACATTCTGCCAGGAACAGTAACACAGCTAGTGCAGTACAGTTAATGTACAGGAACAGCCGTCACGCACACGCGACGTGCAGGCTCGAGACCCCAGGACACACCGTGCCCAGGAACAAAAGTGTCCGACAGTCTTTGTGGGTAGGAACCCTTAGTGAAGCCCGTTCTTTAACATGGTAGCGGAGCTGCCTCCAGGAACCTCCTTGGCAGCGATGATGCTACTCGTAGCCATAGGAACCATGATGCTCGGCGCCATGGCAGTTTGCCTCGTTGCCGGATGGAAGCAGATGCGCGCAAATGAGCAGATCACCAAGAAGACGGAGACAGTGCTCAACATGCCCACGCTCAGGATCGCAGTCCGTTCAGGAACAAAGTACCACCGCAGAGGTTGTGGACACCTTCGCAACCACAACGTGACAGCAGGAAACGCGCGAGACTTTGACGCTTGCAGCGATTGCTACCCCGACCGAGTGTTGGTGGAAGAGAAAGAGAAAAGGAACATGAAGTGCTACGGTTTGGCAGCATGTATGGTGCTGCTGGTTGGTTTCGCACTGGGAAGCCTCGCAACTTTGTGCGGGATGATCTTGGTCCCAGGAGCAAGAAGTATGGCGGTGAGACCGTGGCAGGCCCTTGGCAACAACGTGGAGACCAAGGAAGAACTTGCCCTTGGAGACGTCTTATCCTCCAAGGATGCGAGCCGTGGGAGAAAGGAACTCACTTACGTGGAGAGCGACGAGAGCGAGCTCATGGCAGTGTGGTCGAGCAGAAGGAAGCCCAATACGCACCGGAACCGCTACAGGAACTACGACGTGTACGGCGAGTACTACCAGCAAGGCTACAACGAGTGCAGCGTGAACCCCGACGGCACCAACGTGAACACGATCAGGAACACGAACGCGTACACGATTAAGGACTATGTGGAGATAGGAAAAGTCATGGTACCGTACGCTTTGTTGTGCATGAACCAAGTGATGAACGAGCTCTACAGCGTCGTTAGCGTGACCGGCGAGTACTACACGGAAGAGAACAGGAACGGCAACCAGAACACCGAGAACCAGGAGAGTGAGAGCCTTGAGTCAGGCTACGCCCCTAGGTACCTAGTAAAACAACAGCGAGAAGTACTGAGGAAATTTGTACAGGAACATGTTCACAGTTTCGTAGAAAAGCTAGCAACTGTAGGAAAGAAGTTTCACGACGTCGTGCATGTGATAGTTCAGGAAGTCATTTCCAACAGAGTTGTATTTCAAGGAATTCGCATAGCAGTGTTCTTAGGAACCCCAATGGGACTGATTACTTGGATCACCCTGTCGTACTATTCTAGTGTGTTTTTCGCAAGAGCAAGCAACCGCTCAAAGCACCAAAGGAAGACAAGAGGAGAAAGGAGAGCACAAGCAGTGTGCAGGAAACAGTGCAAGTCGCTACTTTTAGCAGCACTAGTGTACAGCAACCTTGAAACAGCAAAAGGAATGGAGGATGCATTGAAGGCACTTGCCGAGATCAATGCACAGACCTTACAAGGAATACAAACACTAGCAGAGGAGATCAGGAACTCAGCAGCTTCAGGAAGTCAAAGAGAAGCAGGACTTACACAAGCATTCCAGGAAACCCTGACAGCAGTTCAGGAACAGCAGAAGACAGCGCAAACAGCGTTGGCAGACGCCCACACGAACGCAGCAACGACACTTGAGGAGATAGGAGCATCTCTGGAGAAAGCAGTAAAGGAACAAAGAAAGCCTGGAGAAGTGGAGTTGCACAAGCTGATTAAAAGCCCCGAAGCATTTTCCCCAGGAACATGGCAAGAAGAGAAGAGTGGATGGACAGAGTTCAGGAACAGGATGCGGATCTGGCTTGGAGCAGTGGATTCCAACATGGTGAAGATCATGGACATCGCCGAAAGGAACTTAAAAGATGATAAGCAAGTGAAGATGGCTGAGATGTCTGCAGAAGCAAAGGAAACAAGCAGACGCCTGTACAGTGTTCTTTGTTCATACACTAAAGGAAGGCCGTACCGAGTTGTAAAGCATGTAGCTGAGGAGAACGGTATGGAAGCTTACCGTATGCTACTCAAGGAATATCAACCAACGAATCGTGCGAGATCGTTGGAGTTGTTTCACAACATTCTCAACTACAAATTCGCTCACAACAAAGGAATTGCTGAGAATATCCTCGAATATGAGGAACACATCGAGAAGTACGAGAAGGCTACTGGAGAAAAGGTACAGGAGAATTTGAAAGTATCTACTCTTATTCAAGGTATGAAACCTGACGTGAAAAGGCACTTGTTGCTCAACATGGATGAGAAGACACAGTACAATACTCTTCGTCAGTACCTTGTGAACTATGAGTCAACCGAGCGTTGGACTAACTCTTTGGCAGCCCAGCAAGGAACACCTCACCGAACCACAACAGACTTGATCGACAAAGGTGATGACCATGGTGGTCTTGCAGCAATGGATATCAACCAAGCATGGTACAAAGGAAAGAAAGGCTATGGCAAAGGTTATGTTCACCATAAAGGCAAAGGTAAAGGAAAAGGCAAGAAAGGTGGAAAGGACTTTGGAAAAGGTTACGGCTTTGACAGCAAAGGCAAAGGTAAAGGTAAAGGTTTCGGAGGTTTTGGCAAAGGCAGAGGTCGAGGCAACTGGAAAGGCCGAGGTAGAGGTTTCAGAGGTTACAAAGGAAAAGGCAAAGGTCGAGGAAGAGGTTTCTTCAGACACAAAGGAAAAGGTAAAGGCAAAGCCCAAGCAGCTACAGGAGTGTGTCACTACTGTCATAAGTATGGACATTTCGAAGCACAGTGCAGACAGAAGATGCGTGACATGGGTTATCAGGCCAGGAACGTTGACCTTGAAAACCAGAGCGAGCAAGCGAGCACTACAGGTACTTCTACTCAGGCCCCTTCGTCAGCCAACAAGACCTCAACAAGCCAAAGCCAAGCAAGCCAAGGAACCCAAAGACCAGTGATTAGGATGGTCTCCATGTACCACATGGGAGACGAGCCCACAAGCTTTCCGGAGGAATTCGCGCTGAGTGAGAACTCTGAAGAGATAGAGATTGAGTACTTCGGAAGAGTTTTGCGGGTTGTTGGTGAAGAAGTTCAGGAAGAGAGGAGTGAGACAGAAGAGTTTTGGATTGGTGATGAAGATGATGAGTTTCAGGACTGTGATGAGGTGAGTGATGATGCATGGTTGCAATGGCATCTAGCAGGAACTCCGATAGGAACTCAGGATCGTGGATACTACTTTGAGTGTCCCAATGGATGTCATGAAACACCGTGGCACCCAAACATGCAGGAATGTGAGAACGGATGTCACCATCCTCCTAGAAGGAACAGAGTGGAGAGAACAGCACCCTCAAGGACCATCACCAGGTTTGCGCGTGCAGCAAGGAACGCGAGAAGTCGAGAGATCGAGGTCGTGCTGGATTCAGGAGCCGACATTTCGTTGGCACCGATGTGGATGAAGAAGTATGGAAGAAAGGCACCCAACACTACCAAGGTAGTTTTGCGAGATGCACAAGGATCTCGGATCAAGGTTTCAGACCAAAGGATCATTGAGGTTGAGTTTCGGGATGTTCAAGGAAACATTGTGAAGGTTGAAGAAGTGTTCTTGATTTCATCGGTTGTGCACCCTCTTTTGGCAGTAGGTAAACTGTTGAAGAAAGGCTGGGAGTTCAGAGATGGAACAGCAACAGGCACTTTCCTAACAGAAGGAACAACCAAGATCGCAGTGAACTACAACAACAACTCACTTACAACAAAAGCCTTTGTGAGAGCAGTCAACTGGGAAGCAGAAGCAAAACCTATCCCTATGTACTTGTGCGAGAACTTGAAGGAACTCATTGAAGAACAGCGTGTTGGTTGGACCAACTGGCGAGACCCTTACCAAGTCCACTTCAGCCTAGGAACCTCAGAACACGTTGATACTTACTTGATGTTTCCACCAGGAAAGTTCGCATATCGAGCAGTGCTTATTGAGGATGATGATCAGTGGTATTTGTTGCATCACAGCATCATGTTTGAGGAACTTGAGGAACCGTTTGGAACAATCTTCGATGGCAGTAAGGAGTACCGCACGCTTACGCTAGTATCGCTCAAGGAATTTCCGCTGAACCTCATAGGCACCCCCAAGGAAGATGAGGATCGAAAGATGTTTGAAGAGTACACTGAGGATGCATGGTCAATCAGCATGGATGGCACTACACTCACGAGGTACCACAACTCGTTGAGGAAGACTTTGTTCAATCCTCGAGATACCAATGACATTCCAGTAGACATTGGAAACCTCAAACCAGACAGGTACACGTATGGAGAAGAACCGATCAATAAGGATTTCTTTGAGGATGACAAGTTCTGGACTTTGGATGAGCCTCACAGAGACCCAGAACCACTAGGAGGTTTATCCTGGACAGGACGTAGTGTATTCGAACTCATTGAACCAGTGAACCCCAAGGCCAGAAGACCAAAACAGAAGGTTCACCAACTGGACACGATTCCAGAACAGGAAGAAGAACAGGAAGAGACCTCAGAGGCCCAAGCACCAGCACACAGGCATGAACTTGCAGGAGAATTGTCTTTTACATTCAACGGTCATGAGTACAACCAGCAGAACAGCCTCAAGGCCCTGAGAGAGTTGTGCAAGGAACTAGGAGTCTCAAAAGCTGGCTCTAAGCAAGAGATTCTTAGAAGGCTCAGTAGATCCATTATGGAAGCAGAAAGGCATATGGAACTTGTTTCAGGCCAGAAGAAGTACAAAGAGTTTCTAGAAGCTGAACCTCTGAAGGTACCCAAACAGCCAAAGCCGGAGGAAGTTGCAGTGCATAATCTCACACACTTACCTTATGCATCGTGGTGT